TTTAGTCTTTCGTCATTTTTTATTACATTTGACGAAATAGTTTCTCAACTCCAAAAACATTTCGTCATGCATCATTACATCAGAATCAGAATCCAATTCTTTATTTAATTCTGGTTGTGTTGTGAATTTAAAGCCAATCTCAATAAAAAGATCTAATGATTTTAAACCTACTGCAATATCATCAGTTTTTGACCAATAATCTAAATTTTATTTTTTTTAGAATCAGATGCACGCCTCCAAGCTCTGATATTTCTTGTAACTGTCCTATGATTCTTTGAATAGTTTTTTGTTGATTGTGAACCTGTATAGAAAATCACAAACTCAAAAGGAGTTGACATTTTATTTTAAAACTATTCAAATGATTGTTATAGAATTGTTAGGACCTGGATAAAATATTTACAATTTAGTTTTCTACCATACCGCACTTAGACCACACTTAGACCACACATTATTTCAAGAAATATATATATATTGGACAGCAGAAAAAAAAAGATTTATGGTCATTTTGAGAGAGATCATTCGAGCTTGAGAACATACCTATATACTTGCATGTAAAAAGATCTTGGATTTAAAAAAATGTTTTATGAAAATTCAGCCTTTTTTGCTGCCCAGATACTTTTATTGTTTGTTACATGCAATAAAATTAATATCTAAAATTTCGTTTTTAAACAAAATGAATTATTTACCTCTGGGGTTGTTTTTACTGGAGACATCTCATATGTTAAAAATAAAATAAATAATAATAACGAAAATAATAATTAACATTTATTATAACGAATAAAGCACCATTGAACTCAGGCACAACGTCAAAACCATAGATCAGTGTCGCGGTTGGCCTTTTTTTTGAAAAGCAAAAGTTGCACTATGCATGCGTTATAAATTTTACAACCAAGATTTTTAAACATGAGACGCATTTTTCACTTTTACCATAAAGAAAAGGATGTTGATCAATTTCGAGTGAGGTAAATATTTTCAAAGAATTATTTCAATCTTATTATTATATATATATTATAATGTTATTTTTTTATTTTAAAAACTGAAGATAATGAAAAATTACAAATATTACAAAAATTATTTAGTTATTATTTATATTATTAGAAAATTAAAACATTTTTTTGCTAATTATGTACAGTCGACACTCAATACAGTGAGCGCGGCCAACTTTATTTTTCACAAATATATTATATTTAAATTAATTGTAGTTTGAATAAAAGCAAAAATTTAACGCGATTAACTCTTATCTGAACTTGATTTTTTTCCTGTACTACTAGTACTAGTAGAACGATGAGAATAAATAATATAATTAAGAAATCCTGTTTCAAGTATGTTTATCAATACATAACCATCAATTTTCATATATTTTCTACGAGTGACCTTCTTCGCATGTTTGGTGTCGGTGGTAATTCTTTCTTCGTCATTTGCAATTGTTTGAGGTTCTGTGGTGTCTTCTGTTGGAATGAAACTGGGGACGCCGCGACCATCTTGTTGTCCAATTTCTCCATTTTCAAGTTCGTAAAATACGATTTTATCAGTATTTAAATCTTTGGTGACATTTTCGATTCCATCACAGATTTGATCCTTTTTGCTTTTCTTCGTTTCTTTCTTTTCATCAACATCGATTTTGATATCACCATTATCATCGGTATCTTTCTTCTCATCCAATTCAAATTCAATAAAATATATAGAATCATCAACAGGCAGAGGGTAGAAATATTGCTTTGTTTTTTTAGATTGGGTGTCTTTTTCTGTATTATTGTTTGTATCATTTATTTTTTTAGTAACATAATAATTGCCACGCACTTTAGAAATTTTATATTTTTCCAAGCTATCAGGATTAGGATCTAAAACATTTCTACCGCTACCACTCTTATTTATACTAAAACGTCTGATATTAAAAATATCTGAAATTTGAATTTGCGCGTAAACATTAGATTTCTTGACTTCTTGACTTTCTTGACTTTCTTGACTGTCTTCACCAGATGTTTTTTTATAAATGTATTTAACTATTCCCTGACTAGAAAAGAACGATGCGATTGCACGAGTCAAAACCGTGGTAAGAATGGTGTTGAAAACTGTGCTAATGATAGAAGGGGTACAAAACCAATAATATTCAAAGAATATTTGAAGTAAGGAAAGGATAACGGTAAGGAAAAAAGTTCTTTTACGAATAAAACTTCGGTAACTCCTAGTCTCAATATCCCTCCAAAACATTACATATTTTTCTAAATTAGGGAAATGATATGTCGAAACTAAAACAGTGGACGAGATGAAATAAAGTAATTTCAAAAAATAGTTTAAGGTAAGCAAATTAGCCGAGCTTCTCTTTTCAGTAACATCTACACCACTATTTGCCTGCTGTTGTAAATGTATGTTTAAGAGTACTGAAAAGACGTATTTGTATTGAAGAGCGCTATAAACTATAACTTCAAGCGAATGAACAAAGTAAATCCAAATAATAGCAGTTTTTACATGACCAAAGTAACGTTTGTATTTTTCGTAATCTCTGTTGTTATGCTTGCTAATTTTTTTTTCACTAAAATATGCCCGATATTGGTGAAACTTATATCTAATAACCCCAAATACAATCAGAGTAATTGTAGCAGATGCAACAAAAATACAACCAATTATTACAATATATTCATAGTAATCACCGTAAGGCCTAACAATACCAGCTACAAAATCACTCAACATAGTCGCTAATATCCAAATCCACATTGGTTTGGTGAAAGTGTACCACGAAAAGATGAGCAAGAAAGATGTCCCCAAAATAACAATATCATCGAGTAAACAAGTTGTCATGTAACCAAATATGGATGTTGTACCATAAATAGCTACAGTAAAAAGAAGACCGACAATAGGGAAGAATGTTCCCACTTGACTAAAAAAGCTGGGGTATATGTTAACTTCGCTATAAGTGCCAACAGGAGGACAGCTAAAGGCAACTGCTGATCCACTTGAATCGATTGATGGGAACTGTATTATAGTATTAGGAACATCTTGAGGTTGAGATTGATTTTGATTTTGATCTTGTGCATTTGATGTGTAGATAAAATTAAATAAAATACAAAACAAAATAAAAAGTTTTGGATGAAAATTTAGCTGAATTATTTTAAAGTTCATTGCGAAAAACATCTATGAAACAATCTGTGAGAAATATTTCATAAAAGAAAAAAAGAGGAGTTCATTCAAACTTAGTTTATATACGCTGGTTGCGAAATCAAGAAACTTTTTTTTAATGATATATCCTAAATAGGCGTCACTAATAACTAATTACTATTCGTAGATTTTTTATTGTATCTTACAAATTTGTTAATATTTAGTGTAACAATAAATAAATAAAGCGCCAAAAAAATCGCTTTTTCTTTGTAACCGACAATCTTCTAAATTTATATCATCAATGGAGGGAGGTGACAATATGTTACGCAGTTAAATATTAATATTAAATAAATAATAATAATAAATAATAATATATTTTTTTTTTAGTAGGAAATTCTTTATCTTTACTTATATGACTGAAGATTTCATTTTCATTTTTAAATTAATTTGTTAATGCCTATTATATAAGCGCGCAATGATATTTCAAGTATTAAAAACACCCCTATTCTTTGCATGCATGTGTGATGAAGATCTCGATGAAATTTGTGCACCAAATGAAGATCTCGATGAAATTTATGCACCAAATGAAAATAATTATAATTTTTTTAAAAAAAAAAAACTCTTTCTGCATTTATTCATTCCATCAAAATATTTTATAAAAATATATTATTCAATCAAAGTCTAGAACTAAAAGAACTTGAACAATACCAATATCTACAACATTATTAAAATATACAACTCTATTTTTTTATCATGAATGTAAGAGAAAGCAAGATGCAAGCAGACAACCTAAGAATTCTTATTGTATGTAATTTTTTGTTAATTCAAGTGCTACGAAAGTTCCCTTTATCAAATGTTCCTGACAAATAATATTTTTACCATATCTGGATAATATTACAAGGTCATAAATTTTTTCCCATTTCATTATTATTATTATTATTATTATTATTATTATCTATTACTATTACTATTATTATATAGATAAAATATCACCCCCGACATTCAAAAGATTAAAAAAAAAATCCCTATTTACTATTAATGCTATATAACCATAAATTAAAGAATTATACAGAAATCTTTGCTTTTAATTTGCAGCACAAGATAACTTTAGTTTAAAGATAATTGATTTTTATTAAAGATTCGAATCACATAACAAAAGAACTCCGCCTAGCTTTTACTGATAACTTTAATTAAACTCGAGATTGATTACTACTATGAATCAATGATGAGATTTGTATACAAAATTGTTTGTTACTAGTGGAAATAAAAACCTCAACCGGCCAATTATTTGGTTAATTATGCCTCATGGATATTTATTATTGAATAATATTACATCATTCAAAAACCTTATGTTATCTTTAAATATAACAATAATACACATCTAAACTCGATAAGCCGAACGCAGTTTAAAGTACTTTATGATATAAATAAATGTCCGACTTATCGAGTTTAGATGTGTAATACTAAAAAATATGTGATGATTATAAATGATAATAAATTATATAATTTAATGCTTCAAAGACTCCAATAGGTAGTAAATCAATTTAGTTGTATCTCACTTACTCTCCATTCTCTTTGCATTTAGCACCTAATACAAATATGGCTTCATTTCACGTTTTCTATTTATCACAAATTGCTGAGTTACCTTTTAACCTATTTCAACCATTAATAACGATTGACTGGTTCCCAATCTCTAAATTGCAAAGTTCAATTCAAAATCTGTGTTCCGTGTGAAATTCGAATTAGAATTAGCCAACTAGAATTTTGTATCCCAACACCCCACCTCAAAATTTCACACGATTTGACTTTCACGCACATCTGCAGGTTTGAATGGATTATTTACATAATTTATTATTATTATTATTATTATTATTATTATTATTATTATTATATTGTTAATTATATTTGTCGTGTGAATCGCAATTTCTTTTTGATTGCTAATACTAAAGATAAACTTTATCGGTATAAATAAATAATGCAATTGGAATGTTTTAGAAGAATAAAAAAATATATTTGTCTAAATTAAAAAAATAACAATTATTCCTATTTTAGGTTTCTCAATTGATTTTTTTTTTTTTTTTGTATCCATCTCCGAATGCAGTGCAACGTACAATAAAGTTTTTTAATAATTGACAAAAAAATTCCTATAAGATTACCAAATGAACTCTTACTGTCATTCAATTTGGGAGCAAATTTGGATTTGGAAAAAATTTTATTGATGAACATACCACAAAAGTGATGCAAGTTATATGATAGAGGAATCCATTGTCTCGTAGATAGGTTGCTGCCATGACTGGATCAAAATTAATATAATATTCGTTAATAGGGCCAATTAATTTAGTGGTCAAATTATTATATCAAAAGGGTTGTTTGGTTGGTTAGGTTTAATAGGGCCAAGTTAATGAACCTTTTTTTTTTTATATTAAAAAAAAATCATAATTTATAAAAATCAATTATTATAATCAGCTGATGTTAATATAGGGTCAAGTTTATATATTAAACTTAATTTTCGTCTGGTCAAATCATATAACAAACTGACCTATTTATAAAGTTTGCGGGGAACTGCCTCACTAGGAACGATTAAATTACTTTCACCAAATGGAAAATATGAGATAGATCCTATACAATCTCATTTGGAAACAAAAATAATTGTCATGTCATAGAAAATATAGATCAAATATTAAAGAAAAATTCAAAGATTCACTTTTGTTCTTTTGTTTTATAAAAATAATATAGAATATTAAGGTTAAAAATTTTCTAATAAAATTTCTATTTGTATGTCAATTATTTGTTATTCAAACAACCAGCCATTCAATGTAACTAGGAAATTTACAAATTGAACAGAAACTTTAAAACAATATATAAATAACAAGTAACATCAGTGGCCAGGTTTGGATCGGTCATAGAAAGGCCTGTTCAAGGACTGGTCCTTAAAAAGGAAAGTGTAAATACATAAATATTCATTTATTTTTCCTTGAATTAAATTCAGAAATTAATATAAAGTTTTGTGACAAATCTATTTTTTATCATATGGCTGAAATTTGGACATTTACATAAGCAACATTCACTATATGTTTTTCCAATCTTATTATGATGTGAGGACCTAATACGAATAAAAAAAAGTGCTAAAAAGTTTTTTTTTTTTTTTTACAAACCAAAATTTGTTTCCATTTACTATTTTATAAATGAAATCGTTAACAATTGTAGGAGTTTTTATTATTATTATATAGTTTTTTAATATTAATAATTATGTAAATTGTAAAGGTAAATTAATAATCTATTTTATATTTACTGACGTGAAATGAGTATTTCTCTATTATTCAATGATATAGCTATTTAATTATAAGCAACACAAACAAAATAGGATGAACAGACAAATAATTGGATCATTTGGGATTTTATATATAACTTTAATTTTTGCATTTTAATTAGCATAAAAATTGATTTCTTCAAACATGATAAATTTCAAAACTGCGGAATGATACATACACACACGGCTTTGCCTACACGGAAAAAAGGACAGAAAAGTTAATCTCATTTAACGTAATATATGTAGACCCCGTCATGGAAAAAACAATTGAATGAGCCTTTTATTATTAAAGACAAATAATAATCTATTTTAATGCTGAAATTTGTTATATTGCTGTATTAATTATGAGAACACAAACAGAATGAGTAAATATATTATTCTGCTGCATATAATTAGATATTTAAAAGTAATATTTTAACATTTTAAAAAAACAGTATGGATTTTATAACTTTAATGTTGCACCTTTAAAATTGATTCTTGTTTCAAATTCATTAAAGGATTTTGATTTTAAATTAATATCAAGTGACTTGAAATTCTTTTTTACTATTACTATATGTTGCAGATCGCCCTATTATATCACAAATTTATATCACAAAAAATGAAAATTAATTTCCGCCGCCCACATGTTTCGTATTTACTACACATCAAATTTCACCACATGTCAATTTCGAATTTGGTTTATTTGAATTAAATCTATCGGAGATATAAATAAAAAAATATCCTAAAATACTGGTTCTGGACCGGTATTTTGAAGTGGTTCAAGGACCACATCAAGGACTGGTCCCACAGTCCCCCAAAAAAGACGGGTCTTTTGGGACCCGAGACCGGACCAGACTGGACCGACTCAACTCTGGTCATAAATCATATTCTAGTTTAAATTTATAAATGCATATATAGTGCTTAATGTACATAACAGTACTCCTTGACTGTTAGTATAAAGGAAATATTAAAGCTTCAGTTTTCGTGGTATTAAACTTGGACTAACATAAGTACTTAAAATTTTTTATAATGTGTCAAAACATTATAATAGAGATTTAAAATTCTAAACCGCCATTACGTTACAATAAACTATACTATTCTTACTTTACTTGGTCGCGGCTCTATTAAAAAAATAAGCAATCGTGAGTATTTATTTAGTCGCAATATTAATAAAAAACATATTCGTAGTTTTATCCACACATTTATTGCATTTTATCAATAGCCCACATAATAAATATTGGTTTTTGGAGTCAAATTAAAGAGAAGGTTTTCCATATATTTTTATAAAGCAGTTTTACTTGCGTCACTTACGAGTTTTGACTTTAATCAAAATTTTTACTTGCGTCATGTTTTATATATAACTCTGGTGAAGTAACATACAATAATGAAATAATATTACATACTGTATATACAAACAACTTGATAGATATTGCATATCATTATCATGTTCGCTTCTTAATAATTTTGATATAAAATTGATTATATATAGCCAAAAACCGTCAATCATAAATGCAAACTGTCAAACCAAAATAAAGGTTTTGGATTTATTTCTACAATTTATTTACTACGCATGTTTATTGTAATTTTCTATTACTATATATATATAAAAATCAAATGTTTTTTTTAATTTCTTCAGGCATTAAAATGGCCCAGGTTAGCCATAATCGTCATAATATAAAAATGACAACAACGACAATAATAATAATTTAAGGACTCTTGGCCAATGGTAGAAATAAAGAATCTGTCCACTGACAGAAGAAAATACACTGAACGTTTACAGTTATCTTTTTTCAACTAATTGTAAACAATATTAATATGCATATTGCTCTCGGAAACGTGTCCTTCCATCAATTATTATTATGTTCAGCTTCAAACTATAGAAAATGATTTTCTCAATACTCATCATAATGTACTCGGTAACATTGTCAACGATTTAGACAGAAGTTCGTCTGATTGTGAAAATATAAGGCCACTTTACATAACGAGCACTTTAATAATTTCGTTGTATAAACAAAAAAATTTTCAATTTTTACTTTCATCAAATTGTCAAAATGGCCTTTGGTAAGAAACTATATACCTTTAGCCAGTACTTTCATCACGTCAAATTACTAAAGTCAAAGGTTTCGTCATACATCATTATACCAACCACAGATGTGAATTGGTTGACTGAATATCAATGAATTGTGTTCCAAAGTATATACCATCAGTTGTTAATGCATTGTAAATTAATTTCAACAGCAAAACTAAACAGTCTTTTCGGAAAAGCAACCAATTGTTATAGAAAGGATTATCTCGAAAGACATGAACCTAGTAAATTTAGATAAGGCTAGAAGAAATGCCTGACGTAATAAAAACTACAACATTATCAAACTTCAAGAAAATAAAAATAATATTAGTAACCAAAATCAATCTTCAAACCTCAAGATCAAGAACACCATGACTACAATAATAACAATGATAAAATAGGATTTCCAAATTATAAAGAACGATGAAAAAATCACTGTAAAAATGTGTGTTCCGGGCATTAATAAAAATTTATTATCATTGTACGTAATTATCAGGGAAATTTTACATATGTCACCAAGAATTTGAATTAGAAATTTTACTTGATTAATTAAATTGTGTAGAAACTAATCGTGAATGTTAGTTCACTCAAGTAGTAACAAACGGGTGGTGTAGCCGGCAAATGTAAGGTAAATGCAACGGGAGACAAGGTATTTTGAAAATTTGATAAGGGAAAAACTATCAAGGATAAGTTGCGCTCCTATTCAAAAAGTTTTACAATCTATGAAGCAGTTTTAATTATACCCATCTCACCCTGAAATAGGAGAATTGGTTTGATAAATTAGCATATTACAACTTTGGACTTGCTGTTACCTTCAAATGTTATATATATATTACTAATCGGTTTTTACAGTCGGTTTCTTTCCTCAGTAGATTTATATATATATACACACTTGACATTTTATTTCATTCAGCAACCAACTGCGATGTGCATTGGATAAATATTTGTAAAATGTCAAAAAAAATTTTTTTTTTATCAGTGTAAGCGACTCGTTGACAAATGAAAGTGGAGGAGTTCAACTAATTAAAAAATTAAATTTTTTCTAGATATATATTTTCTTTCAAAATAAAATCCATATTCTTTTTTACAATTAAAAATACTACAAATGTTTCTTCTTTTGTTATTACATTTCAAAAAAATTCACAACGCGTTCGAATTATCTTTAGTGCCCGAATTTGAAACATACATAAGCATATCAACATCGGTATGTAGAGTAACTTTTACGAGTTTGTTAATTTGATGATTGTTGACTTTGGAATTAACTGCGCGTAATAGCAAATACACAATCATATTAATAATAAAATAAAAACGAGCTTAAGCTGTCTTTGGTGCCTGAGTTTAAATGCGCAGAAAACAACTTTTACATAATAGATAAGATTAAATAATAGATTCATGACTTAGTTTTTCAAATTTTTAAAAGCACCGGATGCATATTTCTCCAGGTGTAGACCATATTTATTAAAAAAGCAACATAAAACTTCCGAAAAAATTCCTTTTTTATAGAAAAAAGGGGTACCATAAAAAATCCGCATATATAGATTAATTAGATTTGTTAATCAACTTATATCGAATACCCCAATGAATTATCAAGGTGTTATTGTTATTTTGATAATATATATCTTTTTGTTAGGGAAAAATTAATCAATCTAAAGAAATTATAGTCAAATCTTTTATTTTGTAAATATTTATTTTATTTAAATATCTGATATTTATGATACAATTTTAAATACAATCTTAATATTACACGTACATATATATTTTTATTCTTTGATCCAATCATTCATCCATTTCCTAACACTATCCATGACATTCTTGACATTCTCTTCATTATAATCTTTAAATTTAGTTGTTAATGCTTTTTTAGATTTTTCATAACAAATATCACATTCATCTTTAAAATCCTTCATCATCACCACTTCCAAATAAATCAATGCAATAATAGTACACAATTTTACTTTTTGCTGCTCATCATCTTTATTTTCAAAATTATTTTCAAAGTTGAATTCATCCAATGAATTTTTTCCAAAAAATTCAAGAAATTTATTTTTAGGTTGAAATTTACCATCAAATGATTGAAGTGACAAAAATGTTAATAGTGTTTCAATTTTGGGTTTTTTATGTTCTTTTATTTCTTCCTTGGTCATCTCTTTCTTTTTTTCTTTTTGATTTTGATCATTATTACAGTTATTATTACTAATGTTGTTGCTATTACTGCAGAGAGTTTGACTATTATTATATGTTGTATTTGAAAGTTGTGGATATAGATTTAGAGCTACACAACAATTTTTTTTTATTTAGTAATTATAATATAGATTAAAATCATTTTTAATATATAAGTAAATAAATAAATACCAATACTTCCTGATTTCCTTTTTGAAGATTTTTTTGCTATATTTTTAAATAAATTTTGTTAAATAATGATAAATGTGTATTAAATTATTTTTATTATGTAAGTAAATAAATAAATACCAAATGACTTAAATAATGGTGTACTAGCACCTATACTGGGTGATGCCGCTACATAACAATTTTAATAATAAATTATGTTAATATCAATATAGATAAATGCCATTTTTAATATGTAAGTAAATAAATAAATACCAAGTGACTTATATGATAGAGACCGTCTTGCAGTACTGAGATTATTATCAATGATATTAGTACTATTTCCAACACCATAATGCCATCTATACATTTGAAATGATTGTTTATTTGGAACATGTCTAATTTCTGGTGGTTTCTGAGAAATTGATTTTTTTGATTGTTCATCAATTACAATAAAACTAATAATATAATAATATTATTACTATTTATTAATTTACAAGAAAAAAATTATCATTAATATTTGTTGCTTGCTTACCTTGTATATTTTGAGATTAGATTATATTTTATTCCCAAGTTAACAATATAATCTTTAAATATATAATCAGGAAT